AGACACATTCTTTGTGGAAAGTCTTGAAAGATGACTGGGTTGGTTGGATGAGGGGGAAAAAGTCTGTTCCAGGGAACAGCACATGCAAAGCTGTATGATAGGTCTGGAAGTAGCAGGCAGGCTGACGGAGGAGTTGGTCTGGAGGACAACCTTCTCTGAGGTATATTTAAATGTCTCAGATGTGGACCATGTGGAATGTGTCACGTGGAGGCTGGACTATTTCTCCACAAGACAGCAATATGATGGCATGTTTTCCCTGAGCATCTGGGTACCAAAGGACTGTTCTCCTTTGCAGACATCACCACCAGGCCCCTGTGTGGTGCTTGGGGCAAGGCAGGGCAGAGTACATTCCTGGGAACACCTAATTTATCACTATTTTCTTTATAAACACGAATACAGAACGTCTATTTGAAATTTTGACTTACTACAAGTGTACCCTTTATGGGGCCCTTCCTCCTTAGAGACAATTAGAAAAACAACAGAAATTCAGGTGTCATGGGGACATGGGGGTCTCACTGTTAAGGACAGACTGGCTGTGGGATCAGAGCCAGGGAAGGGGGTGGTGGCTGGATTAAGCAATTGTCATGTCAAGTCATATCAAGCAACATCCCAAGCCTGTGGGGGAGGTGTCAGTGGAGTTCTCCACCAGAGCCCACCTTGCAGTTTAATACTAAGAGGCTTTGTTCTCAAGGTCTGGGAGTTGCCACCCCGCTGGAGGACTTCTTTTCCGCGAATTTAAATAGATAAAGAAGTGCTTTGGAGCTCAAGCAGTCAAATTCAAACTTGACAGAAAGAAGCTGAAACCCCGTTTTGTGTTTTTATCGAGACCTGCCATCCAAGGGAAGGAAAGCCACTGAGCGTTGCTGAAATGCTGCTCTCAGCACTCCTCGTGGGCAGGTGCTGCCTGCGCGTCCTTCTTACAAGGCCTCCCTGACCCTGTTCCTCCCTCCCCCAGGGACTTCCAAGGCTGAGGAGTCCAGGCCGATGTGAAAGTCCCCCAGGCAGGCGGGGGTCCGCTGAAGGCCCTGAGGTCCGCTGAGGTCCCCACCGGGTCCGCGGACGCCCGAGGCCTCCCGCCAGACTTCCCGAGCGTGCAAACTCGTCTCCAGGAGCGCTGCGCCGTGCGTGCGCCCACGTGGGAGGGTGGGAAGGCTGGCGGGGAAGAATTCAGCGTGGAGGCCGGGTTGCTGTCTCCATCACAGGCGCAGGCGCACGCTCGCCCTGCCCCCAGGCCCCCCAGCTCCGCGTTTGCAGAACAGGGGGGGCGCTGGCTCCCGGAGGGGGGTGCAGCGGGCGCACTTACGTGGTAGGTCTCCAGGGCGAATCTGGTCCCGGCGTTTTCGGGCTGGGGCTGGGACACCGTGCCCACCACCTGGAAGGTGCCCTCCTTCAGCTTGGCCGTCGAGGCATCGGGCATGACAGACTTGCTTTCATCCTCCTCTTCTTCCTCTTCTGTAATTTCTTCAAGTGAAGCCCCCACGACACAGTTGGATAGAAACTGCAGGAAAACGGAAATTCCCCCAATATTAAGCACAACTTGCAATATGGCGGGGGGCTCATGGTGCTCCCAGGCGAAGCTCCCCCCGCGTCCCTGTGACACTCTGAGATGATCGTAGACAGGCGCTCAGGCAGCTCGAAGAACTTGCTAAAGGATGCGGCCGGCCCTGCTTTGGCATCGGACAGGTGTGTGCCCGGTTCATCTAACAGGACTGTAGACCTGCAAGGGTCCCACGTGGGTAATTTAAATTTGCTAGTAGCCACCTCTCTGGTGGCGCAAGGGGCTAAGCACAGCCCCGTGAAGCTGTCCTCAGCCTCTGCAGCGCGAGTTTGATCCCTGGGCTACCAGGGGGCTACCCACACGGCGCGGCAGACCTCTCCCGGCTCACCCGCCGCTCCCTTCAGCAGTGTAATTCAGTCAGTCTGCCTGTTCTGCTCCCCGCTCTGTCTCTGGGGGGTGGATCCTCTCACTCCCACACCCCTGGCCTGTACCCCGGTTCTTGTATGCGTAAATAAATAAATACTACAAAAAAAGGTAAAAGAACTAGGTGGGCTTAATTCAAGTAAGGTTCTAATGGACGCAATATCCCCAAAATTAATCTTTTAATCAAGTTAACACGTGACCGATGCAGACACTTCTAATGAGCCCTGGGCTGTGCGTCCAGGTCCTGGGCCCACTCCGCGGGAGCGCCGGCCCTTCCCCCTCCTGAGCCTGTTTCCCCCATTTACAGGGAAGGTCGTGGCCGGGCAACGGACACCAAACTCCGGGCTTCCAAGGGGGACGCTTGTCTATTCCGGGTGCGGACGGGGCCAGGCGGCACGGGCCGTGTCCAGCATAGGGACTCTCCCTCTGGGGAGACCCTGACAGCGCCGGGGGTGGGGGGGGGCAGGCCCCGCTGGGGTCGGGAACTGGGGCGAGGCCTGCAAGTTGGGGCCAGGGTTCTACTCTGGCCCGCCGCGCTCACCTTCCCGATGTTTCCACTGCTGTACGAGTCCAGCAGGTTTATGAAAACCCTCTGCACCCGGATCACTTTCTCAGTCGGGCCAGCGGCCTCCTCGTCCTCGGCCATGCCGGGCGTGGTGGTTGCTAAGGAGAAGGCGTCTCGTTGCCCAGGGGGCGGGCGCGCGGGCCTGCGGGGCGGGGCCTGTGGGGGGCAGGGCGGGGCCTCCCTTCCCGCGCTCGGAGGACTTTCCGGGGCGCCGGGGGGAGTCCCCCGGCCCCAGCGGCCTGCTACGCGTCGTCAGCCCGCCGCCCAGCGCGCCTTCCCTCCGGGCCCCCGGGGTTGCCCTGCGGCCTGTTTCCTCTCACCTTTCAGAAACTGCGGGGCACGTCCAGGTGGGCTCCGAGGGCTGAAAGGTGAAGCCACCGTCTGGACCTCTCTGGGATGTGGGAGTTAGCGAACCTCACCTTGTAGGACGGCCTGACCCGGAGGCTGTGGTATCCACCTCTACTGCAAAGAAGAGCTGCTGCCATGGGGGTTGAGGTCCAGGACACCCAAAGGGCGGCCTGAGGGTCCCCACCTTGCGGCCAGTTGCTGTCTGGCCCACGGGGTTCCACTGGCTTCAGAGTCTCTTTCGTGGGGGTGGGGTGGGGTGGGGCCATTTGTGCTGGAGATTCACCCACATTCACAAAGGAAGGGACTTGGCAGTTTTGCCCTTTGACCTTTTTGGATGGGAGTGGACACGCAGTTGGCTAGATTAATGCGCAATGAGAAGACCCATTCTTTTTATAGTGGAGAACTACGAAAACATCCTGTCTCAGAATAGCCTGATGCTACTGGATTATTTTTGTCATTTAAACATTAACTTGCTAACTGTTTAGCACAGGGAGTGATCGTGTTTCCCTCTCCCCACTGCCCCTCCCTCCACCATTGCTCATGAAGTGGAGGCGACTCCTGACAGCTTGCAGGCTCTGGACAGTCGGGAGATGGATTGGCTTTGCGTGTCAGCTCTGCAGTCGCTTGTGGGAGATTGGGGCCATGTTTTAACCTTCCCCAAGCTGTTCTTTTGGCTGTAACAGAGAAAACCACCAGTTTAATCGGGCGGTTAGGATCACCTAAGATATAAATGGGAGAATTTTCATTATTTTTTGTCCTTCCCTCTCTTTTTGTATGTCTTGTTAAAACTCTTTTGATTTGATAAAATAATGAACACTTTGAAATTTTGCAAACTCAATTTGGGCAGTTTTTTCATACAACAAAATTCTTTTTATCAACAAGAAGGTGATGTCAATTTGAAGGTTATTCACTGCAACACCAGTGCCAAACTTGAATATACGGCAGTACTTTACAAATGACTTATCAGTTCAAATATTCTAGAATTCATGAGCCTTCATTTCCTGGTTTTAGTGTGTGTTGCTGCATATGGAAATGCAGTTAAGCACTTTGAAAGATATTCAGTGGGTCTTGCTACTATAAAATATAACTCTCCTTTGTTTCATTCTCGTTTATAAATACTATGGTAACAGGCAAATAAGCTAGCACCACAGCGACAAGGGGCCGGCTTCCAGAGAATTTTATATCAAGTCCATAGATTAGGAAAGGATATTCTGTTCTACCAGTGAATGCATCTCTTAGTAGTTCCTTCCCTCTTTCAAAGTCAGCTTTCATAGAACCGCAAATTTGGTGATGGCTTTGATCACCACATACTGTGGGGATAGCTGGTGAGTCCTATCTGGGTTCTGATCCAACTCTACTAGATGGGCTGCTGAGCAGTCCGCAATCTGTTCAAGTCTCAGCTAAATCATCCACGATACAAAGGGACTGAAGGCAGAGTTGTGAAGTCCACATGGTGCATTATCAGAATCTCGGTATTTTCCTATCCTGCCCACTTAGTAGCCCAAAGGCACATTTTGTTTTGGAGCCCTGGAGTGTGTGGGGTGATCAGTACACCATCAGCTGATTTGCTGTGCAGGAAGCGTTTAATGATCGATTCTGGACCTGGAGGAAGGGTGGGAAGAGAGCCATTATGGGAAATGAGGTGTGTACTCTATTCTCTTCATCACCATCCTGCCTCCTGAAGGACCCTGGGCGCAGCCCCAACTCAGCAGGCTTGGTGCATTTGCTACAGAGAAACATCCTTACAGTATCTATTGCATTTCCCCTCCAGTGAGTACATACCAGCTAATGTGGAAAATGTGAACAAGAATAAAGGAAATGAAAATTACCTATTGTACCACTCACTGATGCTAATATTGTAGATTTTATTTCACTTTTCCTGTTACATGTAAGATTATTTTTCAAAATATATTATCGTTTCATAGCCTTTGTCCCCATAGTATAATTTCCCCCTATTGCCAATTTCATCACACTTTTTAATGGTTGCATATTTTCTCATCAAAACCATGTGGTATGACTTAACCACTTTTTAGAGCCTTTCCAATTTTTCATTAGAGAAAATGAACATCCTTGTAATATATCTTCTGCTATGGCATTTCCTTTGCTAGGACACAATCAGGATAGAAATTACAAGCTTTGTAAAGTTTTTTTTTTAATACGTTTATTTATGCATAAAAGAGCTGGGGTGGAGGCCAGATATGGAGCGGGGGTGTGAGGGGATTCACCAGAGACAGAGTGGGGAGCACAACATGCAGATGTACTGAAATACACTGCTGAGGGGAGCAGTGGGTGAGAAAGGAGAGGTCTGCTGCGCCGTGTGGGTCACCTCCCTGGCTGGGGATCTGTAGCTAGCTTCATAGTGCTGCATGTTAACCCCTGCGCCACCAGGGAGGCCCCACTTTGTAAAGATTGCTACCAATGTTTTCCAGAAAGTTTCCATCAATATATCCTCCAGGAGGATGCAAGAGTGCCCCCTCCCCAAATTCTTCTTGGTGTCATTATATTTAAATAAATGATTAAATCAGGTGAAATGGCCCAACATCGGTAGAGCTACAGCTATTTTCCCTTCTTGAGTTACTAGGCAGGCTGAGTAGCATTTAAGTAGTTACTGGACACTTGTTTTTTTATCCCCCCTGACTTGTTTAATCATATTATTTGCTTTTTTTCTTACCGATTTGTAAGCATTATTTTGTTTAGAGGGACCCCCACCTCTGGAAGTTAATTTATCAGGTTAAATTCTTTAAAATAGCCAAAGTTGAGGTTTCAGTATCTAGAGAGGGGCTTTGTATCTGTGTATTCCCTGTTCCTCTGTCATGGCAGTAAAAGAGCAACTCACTTCATATTATGACGTCATACCATGACGTACCAGCATGACATTCACAAATGGAAACGGAGGCTCTCAGAATCAATCATTTATCACAAAGCGAAGAATTTTCATTTTTAAACATACAATCACTTTTCTTCATACTTAACTCAAAATGAGTGAACAGAATTTTATTCAAACTTTACAAAAATCCTTTAGAGTTAGCCTGAGATTAAGCATGAGAAAGTTCAACCTGAAGTTAGACTTCATTGCCCAAACAGTTAAGCATCTGGAAATAAAGCTGAGAATGAACATGCACTTAGCAAACATAATTAAAGCATTCCAGAGCAATCTGACAAAGAACGGTGACCCCAACTGAACATGAATTTGCTCTGGCCCACATGATCTTCAGAGCCAAAAAAAAGTAGCTATTATTTAATAATGATTAAAAAAAGTCCGCAACTGACACATTTATGAAGGTGTGTCCAGATGTAGAATTTACTTCAATATTTCTACAGCTGCTGCTTTAGACTACTATTAAAAAAACAACTCCCCAATTCTTATTATTCAACATGTACTTGAAAACATTAGCAGCATGGTATGTATAGTTTATTAACTTCATAAATTTCAATGCCTGTAAGAAAATATAAAATACAGAGTCTTCCTTTTCAAATATTAAGTCTCTGAATGCTTCATTCATCCTTTGGTTTCAAACCCATACAATGCACTCACATTACATTGTAGATTTAGCATTGAGACGAACACTGTACATCTGTGGGGGAAGAGGGGCGCCGTGGGAATACCAAAGCACTACAGTATAGAAAGTAAACATCGCGGCAAAAATACTTTCTGAATATATACTGTACATTATGTAAACAAACATTCAGAATAAGAATCAACACAGGCCAAAATATTGTTTTTCAGGAAATCAGAATCTCCTTCCTTTTAAATCACACATATTGAAGATGCCTTTTGTTATTAGGAAAAGAATGGAACCTGTTCCTACATTTGCTTATGTGCTTAAGTATCTTGGAAACAAGTAATTATTACATTCATTTGCTAACGGTTTGTCCTCTTAGTTGGCTGGCTTTTGCAAATAAGGAATACAGAAGGATTTCAGTCTCTTCTTCATTTAATACTAGCTAAGTAATATATAGTTAATTCATGTGTATCAGTCCACATTAATATAAACAGATTAAGTGAAGCAGTGATTTTCAAATTTTGTGCAGGGGAAACTAGTTGATAATTTGTTTCCAATAAGGCTAGTAGCAAAATAATTACTACAAAGTCAGTTCAAGCTAGTAGTAAACCCCTGATTTAGCAAGCTGAATCAAAGTTTGAAGTTAGGTCATTTTAATTCCTATATTACTGTGCAAATCTAGACTTTCCTATGTAAAAGAGAGTGCTGGCAGCATCAAAGCCCTGTAATAACAGAATGAAACACTGATTAGGTTTTGAAACGCAGAGCTACTATAAAAAGAAATCTGCATGGCTTAATAACGATGGTGTGACAGCAACAGTTTCAGGATTCTCTTAATGAATCAGAAACAGAAAATGCCAATTCATTAGTCAATAATGTTCTGAATGAGTCAAAAGCCTAAATTTGAAGAAATGATAAAAGACAGAAAACCAAAGATGTATTTTCTACTATGATCATATGCAAGAACTTCAAGCCTTATTTAGTACTGGCAGCAGCCCCTTCTAGAAGGAAAAAGCTTAGTCATGACTGTCCGTCCCTTTGCAAAGCTTCTAGTCTCTGAAGAAGGGCGTTTCCGAATGCTTCCCGGTAGGCAGGGCTGAGGGTATCCAACAAGGAGTAGACTGTTTCATGGTAGGGAGTCTGTAAATGATCGTCCACCTGGTCAAAAGCATGACCGACCACCTACAAGAGACACCAGCAGTGAAGTGAAGAATTAATAGAAAGCAAAGCCCAACATTTATGTGACTCCTTCTCTAATGACAACTTCTCAACCAACAGTACTGGCATCTTAAATTTACCTTTCCTATTTAAGCAGTTTGTAACAGAGACTGAGAGCGGCAAAATGCTCTTTAGAATTCTTTTCTCAAAATTTAAAAGGTCTGATTTACCTACCTGATCCTAAGGAAGCAGAACATAAAGAATTTTAAAGGCCCACAAAAACACGCCCTCATTTTCACAATCTATAACGTGCTTCTGCTTAATTCCACCTATACTGAGGGTGGAGGCACTAAGACAGATAACATACTGTTAGAACATATTTGTGTCTTTCATTTGGACTCTTTTGATAAAGAATCTAGAAATTGCTTATCACTTTACTTTTGGCTTTATAACTAGTACGTTACTTATCTAATAGGGAAACGAATGCTTCCCTTAGCCACGTAAGAGGGCACAGTATTCTGCGTGTTTCCCCCTTTATGACAGCCAAAGCTTTTCTCCTGAACAAGATTACACTCTCTGTCATGCTTGACCAGCACAGTATAAAGCGCAATCAGTTTTTGTTGATAAGGTTAAAGCGACATAGCCTACATTCTATGACACTGTTTAAGCCACAGCTGACACATTTCATAGAAGACACAGATGAAAAAGAGTGGTGCTGTTGCTGTTTTTAATGCAAAGCAGACACCGACCCCAAGGAAGGTGAGTCACACCTCTTCAGAACCCCACTTTTGACCATGCATCACAAAGTTCCACTCGGGCCCTTCCATCCCCGCTGGGCTCTGTTCTTCCCGGTGGACAGAGGTCACAGGGGTCATGGCTCACCTATGGTTTGATTTCCAGTTCCTGACAGGGCAGCTACTCAGAAAATATTAATTGAATCAGACTGAAAAAACAAATATTTAACTACCTACCATCCAGATCTTTCTGGATAATTTTATTCATATAATTATCCCTCTTATCCTGGCTAGCTTTTTATCCTTCAGATTTTATAGATTAAGTGGCTAGAATTCAGAGAGGTTGGCTGACTCAGCCAAGATGATTAAAATTTCACCGTTCAGATTTCTGACCCATCGAACCCTTTTTCACCACAACCACTTCTGCTCAGTGTGGGAGAGAATTAATTTCCCCTGGGGCTTTTATCTCAACTTTCCATTTGCCTATTTTTATTTAAGATCTACTTTCAAAGATTTCAAGCTTATAGTACAAATTTAGGGATTTAGCCAAAAGCGAGCTCAGGTGCCACTCTCCCAGCCAAGCAGCTCTCCCTGTCGTTGTCGTGAGGGCTGGAGAGGCAGAGATGGGCCTGCAGCGTCTCCACGGAGGTAATCCTCTCACCTCCATGCAAGCTGAATCCAGCGACCAGCCCCGTCCTTCTTGAACAGTTCTTGAACAGTACGAGGTTATCCTACTTCAGATACTGAGCAACTTTTGGGGACCAACATATGCAAACAAGTCAGAAATCTGTGACCAAGACTAAAGATCTGCTAACTGTAAAGTACCACCAAAGTGTGGAGTTTCTACTGTCTGCTTCTTTGCTCACTGGGCCAAGAGCACCACCTGCTCTCAGAGAGTGCTTTCTACTACTGTGAACTCGGGATTATGATTAAAGCCACTGCCTTGGAGAGCTCACAGGCAGTAATGAGGCACTTGGAATAAAGAGCCAATGGAAATTGGAGGCAGGGTGCTCTGCTGTGACTTGACTCTGATCTAACACTAGAGAACCGAGGCATCAAGTATGTTGCTTTAGCAGAAGAAACATTTCAAGGGAATGAGAATGATCCTGTTACCAACTCACTGTCAGCGCAGCCAGTGCAGAGTGCGCCTCATTTTGGTGGGCATATTCCGTTACAGACAAGAGAGTAATTTGGGGGGTGATGATCAAAACAAAAGAACACTCTGAAAGTCAAAAATTTTTTACTTCCAAAAAATGCTCCTTTTCCACATTGGTTGAAAGGTTCCAGCATTAACAAAATTCTAGGAAAAAGGTTTTCCTTCAAAAAAATTCTGGGTGCTACTGAGTGCTGAATGCTCTCTGACCACCCTTTCCAGGTCCCTCCCTAGAACCCCTCTGGATAAAGTGGCCAAAAGTAACTATTTTTTTTCCTAAGAAGACTTACCCTGAGCCCTGCCTCAGTGAGCTCCAGGCAGTACCTGGCCCGCTCTCTTGTCTCCACGTTGATGTAGGCCACGTCGTCTGCACAGCGCAGGGTCTTAGAGACGAACATGTCGTTCACGGCGAAGAGAACGTCATTCACCACGGCTTCCGCTTCCAGCCTCATGTCTTTCACGTCAGTTCCTTCAAAACCATTAAGCTCTGACTCGTCTTCAAGTCCTGACATACTGCTGAGCTCCATGTGATTACAGTCGGTTTCCATTCTGCAAAAAGGTAGAGGCAGAGCTTGATAGATAGACCCTCCAAAATGAATCAGAGTAGCCGTGTGAAACAGAAGGGAACAACTTTTAGATAGACACATTTTCAACAAAGGGATCTCTTCTACTTCCCCTAGATGGATAAATTAGATATTCGAAACAATGTCTCAGTAGAAATCCTGGTACTTACTTCTTAACTAATTATTTTTCTAGGGTATTTAGAACTGGAATTGCTCAAAGTATATGTTCCCTTTACATAGATGGGGCCGATTCACCCTCCCCAAAAAGGCTGTTCAGCCAGTCCTCGCTAAACCTTGATGACAGGTTCCAGGGACACCGACTTTAAGAGAAACCTGATTAAGGGTCTCCATTAACAGTCACTTACAGACTTGTGGGGTGTTTTTTTCTCTCAACTTTGTATTGATACAATGAACATTCACACTGCAGTGATACCAGAGGGGGAATGCACTCCTAACCACTTGCTAATCTTTTCTAATATATTTGCCAATTAGAAAGGCAAAGAATGTTTTATTGTTTGCATATAATCCCTTGATTAAATACCTTTTGCACATTTTCAGGTATTTTTAGTTCCAAGATCACATAGCTATAAAAACCAGAAACAGAACTGCACCCGCCATCTGAGACCAGATTTCTGGTCGTTAACCACTCCAGCACACTGCCTCTCAGAGACGCCTCTCATGACTTCTGGATTTGGGGTTTTGTTTATAGTCTTTCCCATCCTGTGATTACATTTAAAAAAAAAACAAAACACCAAAAACCAAATTGTCTTCTCTATCGTAGTTCTCTATACCCCATCTCCCGCCTTGATTCATCCACTTACACAGCATAGCTTTCCTTTCCAGATGGCTAGCCTGCTATCCCAACACTGAAACGACTCATCTTTTTGCCATGTATTTGCTGGCCCAAGCACGATAATCTGAAGAAATTATTCCTTGTGATAACTTGATTCAATATCACTGCGAGGCTGCCAGGTAGTTCTGGATTCTCTTCTGTGACTGGGTGGTAATGAGTAATGTTAAAATTCAAAATATATGAATGAGACAAGTTAATGAATATGAGATTGCTTCAGAGTGTAAAGTGGGCCTTTCAGAACACATTATGCTTTCTTTTTCACCTTTGGGCTTTAAAAGTTAAGATTTCATTTCTCTGATATAAATTAAGAATTCACTGTCTTGAGTGTAGTATGGCTCCCCAACCTGTAATTTATTTATATCATTTACCTATTATCTCACAAATTCCACCTTTTCTCCTCACATTACTAACTCGTGCCCTATTTGTATGATGTTTAAAATCCTCTAAGTGGTTTTCAAACTTCACCGTGGACTCCAGAGAAACGGGATCAAAATCTGGGAAATTCTAGTGCACAGCCATTGCAGAAGATTATGAGCAAACATCTTAATGAGCCAGAATTCTTCCAGCTACATGTTATTTGCACACTATCAAAATCAAAACTATTTACTGAAAGCAATTTATGATAAACTAGAAAGCTATTTCGAAGAATTATAGAGGAAATGTACAAGTAATTTATTTTCCCAATCCTATTTCAACGTATGTGTTGAGTCTTTTAACTTGTCTCCTATAGCACTTTATAGAATTAGTTACTACCAACAATACACGTTAAATGTAAATTTACCAATTATTACCAGAGCAATTTGTCAGATAATTGACATTTACTATTTTTTTTTAAAGATTTATTTATTTATTTATACAAGCACCGGGTACAGTCAGAAGCGCGGGAGGGTGAGAGAATTCACCAGAGCCAGGGCAGGGAACAGAACAGGCAGACTGACTGGAATACACTGCTGAGGGGAGCAGCAGGCGCAGCAGGAGAGGTCTGTCGCGCCAAGTGGGTCCCTCCCTGGGGCCGGGGATCGAAACGGCACTGCAGAGCCTGCAGGCAGCTTCGCAGCCCAGCGCTCAACCACTGCGCCACCAGGGGAGGCCCTATTTTTAAAAAAATATTTATTTATTTATGCATACAAGAGCCGGGGTACAGGCCAGAGGTGTGGGGAGTGAGCGGATTCACCAGAGATAAAGTGGGGACCAGAACAGGCAGACTGACTGCAATACACTGCTGAGGGGAGTAGCGGGCGAGTCAGGAGAGGTCTGCTGTGCCATGTGGGTTGCTCCCTGGCCAGCCGGGGGATTGAACTTGGCCGGCGGACTGAACTCGTGCTGCAGAGGCTGTCAACAGATTCATAGGTTGCATCTTAACCCCCTGCACCACCAGGGAGGCCCTAATTGACATCTACCATGGTCTTACTGTAGAGGAAAGTGAAAATATTCAATTTTCTGAAAATTTCTGCTTTACTCCGAAAATAATCATTATATTCCTTAATATGACATTTGGTGTTATTTATAAGAAATGAACACTTTTGGGCCTCCCCTGGTGGCGCAGCGGTTGAGTGCTGGACTGCGGGGCTGCCCGCAGCCTCTGCAGCACCGGTTCAATTCCTGGCCACTGGCGAGGGTCCCACATGGCGCACAGACCTCTCCTGCCGCATCCGCTGCTCCCCTCAGCAGTGTGTTTCGTCAGTCTCCCTGTTCTGTTCCTCGCTCTGGCTCTGGTGAATTCTCTCACCCTCCCGTGCTTCTGTCTGTACCCAGTGCTTGTATAAATAAATAAATCTTTAAAAAAAGAAAAGAACACATTTTTTGTAATGTTAATTTTGAATATTTTGCAATGTGACTGTCCTCTATAATCTCAACATCAAGAATATCAAAGGTCTTTATTTGTTCAAGTAAACTACTAAGTGCTCAATTACAGGTGATAGAAATAATCATTACCACACAAAAAAGGTGTTTATGTGAGAAAGCTTAATAATATATAAAAAATTTAAAGAGGGCCTCCCTGGTGGCCTAGGGGTTAAGTCTCACTACTATGGCCTGAGTTTGATCCCCGGACAGTGAGCTGACCCACATGGCGCAGTAGACCTCTCCTGTCTCGCTCGCTGCTCCCCTCAGCAGTGTATTTCAGTAGATCCACTTGTTTTGCTCCCTGCTGTCTCTGGCGAACACCCTCACCTCCCGCACTTTGGGCCTGCACCCCAACTCCTGTATGCATAAGTAAATCTTAAAAAAAATTTTTAAAGAGCCTAATTCATTGCAATGAGAACCTCAATGATGGAGATAGATGAAGGATAGAATACTAGAGACAGGGCCTCTCCTGGTTGTGCAGGCAGTTGAGCGCCACGCTGTGAAGCTGTCTGCAGCCTCTGCAGCGCTGGTTCGATCCCGGCTGGCTGGCGAGAGTCCCACATGGTGCAGCAGACCTCTCCTGCCTCGCCCACTGCTCCCCTCAGCAGTGTTATATCGTCAGTCTGCCTATTCTTTTCCCCGCTCTGTCTCTGGTGAATCCTCACACCCTCCCGCACATCTGGCCTATACCCTGATTCTTGTATAAATCTAATAAAATAAATAAATAAATCTTGTATAAAATAAATAAATCTAAAAAAAAAAAAAGGAATACTAGAGATAAATCCTCATAGGTCAGTAAAGCAGGTTAGCAAGCATTTTGTCATAATCATCACCATGGGGCAGGACAGGATAGACACTTTTCCTAAGACTATGGACCATTAGATTTTTTTCTGAATTGTTTTTGAATGGTGCTTTTAATACAGACATGTTCAGAAGTGTCACAGAACATTTTAAGTTACCATTTTAAGGTATTATGGTAACACTTCCCCCTTCTTAGCAGCACCAAGATTTTCCAACGGAAACCATAATGCCCCCTTACTCTATTGAGTAAAGTAGGGAATTGGTTACTGGGTGAGATGGACCCCATCCCCATAACACATGGCCATAAACTAATCAATTCATGGACTTTCATGTGATCACTTTAATTCAGAATTGCTCAGAGCACACAGCTGCAATGGTCCCTGGTAGCCATCCTGAGATGGGGAAAGCAGTTGAGGACGATGCTGACTATGGGAAAAGAACAGGGCCAAGAGAGTCACATAAATGGCACCAGAGCCTGGGAGGCTGCCCAGCCTTTGTAATTTTCAGTTATTGGAGCCAATAAATTCCATTATTTTACTGGCAACAAAAAGCATCTACCTAACTTGGGAACCTACTCCAATGAACAAAGATTGATCTAGCTTCTCATCAGCTTACAGAAGTAGAGAGGCTAACACTGGAACCCTGATCATATTGCTGTAGAAACTGCTTAATAAAAGAGAAGAATTTGGGGCTTCAAGGCAGAATGTTTCCTTGTCTTTTTGAGTTTCTGGGGCCATCAACATGACCCCTTTTTTCTGACTCTTTGACACTTGTACCCTGCTTCCAGAGACTCTTGTGATTATATTGGGTCCCCCGGATAATCTGGGATATTGTCCCCAAGCAAGGTCTTTAATCACATCTGCAGTTCCTTTTGTCATATAAGGACGGTAACACACCCAGTTACTGCAGATTAGGACACGGGCATCTTTGAGGGTCCACTATCTGCCTGCCAGGGCCGCTATCTTATCAGCAGCGATTAGTTTACTTGTAACAAGCACACTGGCTGGGAAAAGTACAGAGCAGGGCAGTAGACATGGTCTCCTGAAAGGAGGCCTGGTGTACCTGCCAAGCTCACTGCCTTTGAAAAGGTGCACTGTCACTCCAGATGGCAGCAGGATCTACTGGGCATGGGTGTGTCAACGAAAGGCACTACTGAGAGCCTGGCAGGGCTTATAAACCGTCTCGAATCAAAGGCTATGTTCTGATTCTAGATGTTTTGATGCTCAGGTGGTAACTGGTCTTTCCAACCAGGTCCTCTCAAGTCTGAATACAGAGCCAAATAATATGAAGCCAGTTAGCCAGGAACTGCCTAACCCTTTTACTGAGGTTCCCCACCAGAAGGTACCTTAGACTTGTGGCCAGTTTTTGGACTTCAGCAGCCCCACTTTGGGCAGAACCTGCTTGACTAGGCATTTGGCCATGAGGGAATGGGTAATTGTGGGAGTTTTACTGAGAATCCATTATTTGAAATCCTTTCTTCTCTCTAT